GAATAAAAGAGAGAGGACTAGGGACTCACACTAATAGCAGGAAGAGGCAGGTCTATGCTTTAGGGACTCCCTGGGTATGTCTACACAAGATGTTTACTGTGGAGTTGCCTAATTAGCTCCAGAGTAAACAGTTCAGCATCTACATGTGTGGCCCTATTAGACTGCAGGAAACTAATAAACTCTGCAGCAGGTTAGTACTTGTACAAACACAAGTACTAACCTGCTGCAGAGTATTTTTTGTGCACAGCAATGCACATGTAGATGCTGACAGGGTTGGCTGGGGCACGAGGGTGCTTCAGTGCAGAGGCTGACTGGTGGCTAGCCCCACACTGCAGCACCCTTGAGCACCCTAGTGCCCGCAGCACAATGAGCTGAATAAGAGCAGCCCTGGGTTGGCTGGCTGAACCCCCAGCCTCCCTGCTAGCTGGGGCTGCTCCTATGTGGCTCAATTTGTTGTGGTCCCTGGAGCAAGTGTAAACACAGCACTTGTTAGCAATAAACTCTGGCACAATGTGCACTAGTGTTTACTGCTGCACATTATGCATGTGTAGATGTACCCCCTATTAAGCATTGACAGGTCTATCACTAGAGGGGATCAACAGAATGGAAGGGTATGCTGCCTTGACCAAAGGCAAGAATATGAGATTTGGTCCTGAGTTTTTATCTCCGCTCAAGCAAGGGCCTTACTCTCTCAGACACCATTTCCGTCAGCCAAGCCATCGTGACATTGCAATCAAATGAAATGTTTCATTTGACAGAGTCCAATTTGAAACTCAGGGGCCTAGAATGTAATTGGCAGAGGACATTTCTCCATAACAGGAGACAAGGATGTATCTAAATCTTGCTACTTTAATACAAAAACTTAAGAGCTCCATTCCTTTTTACAGACCTTTCCACCATAAAAATGCCCATTGGATATAAAAACTAAGAATAATCATTTTAAGAAAACGGTGGAAACCAATGGCTGTTAACTTGCACAGGAACATACCTCTCAATTATGCATGTTGCACCTGAGATATCTGTAGAAAGATTTATGAGCAAATCTTGCAATCTGAATCTTTGGTTTGATAGAACCTGATATGCGTAAGCTTAGATTTTACTATCTTCCCTCATGTAAAACAAAAATAATATGTTTAGCTATAATCCTTCTTTTAACTTGAGTTGAATCTCTAGGCCAATGAAAGTTTATCCTGCACCAGTAGTAGTTTAGAATTAAAGTTTATCCAGCACCAGTAATGCTAGTAAGATTTTTGCCATTGACTCGAGACAAGTTCCCCAATGAGGGGACATAACTACTTTACAGTAGATTCCAATGTGGTAGTAATTATTTTAAACAAGTTTCATCTTAACTTCATGACTGGAAGGGCATGTATTAAAACATTTTAAAATAAATGTTTTCCTTATGTCTCAATTAAAAATGTATCTTTCAGCATCAACATATATTCACTATAGTCCTGTCAAAATGTTTGATTTCTTTTTAATGTGTGAGTTTCCTCATAGGTTACTCATAAATACAATATAGTTATCAGCTTCAATCCTAAGCAGGCATCCAGGGACACATATAGCATTTAAAAATAAGACAAAGAGAAATATTGTAGAGGTAACAATAGAGAACAAAAGAGAGAATTGACTAATAGTTAAGCAGAAACAGAAATGAAAACCTGACATGAATAAAGGAAAAATGTTAAATTGCAATAGTGAATTCAAGACAAAGGCATAATTTGTCCAAGTTTGTTCCTGAACTACGATTACTAATGTTGTTTAAGATACCATAAAATATTTAAGGACCTAGAGTGGAAAATGATCCTGCATTTGTCTAAAGGTGTGAATTAGATGACCAAAAATATCTTTTAAAACCCTGTATTGTGTTAGTGTCTGAAAACTTAATGAAGACCACAAAACACTCTTAAGAGAATGTGTGTTACACTTTTCCATATCTTCTAGGAAATTAAAAGTTCAATTCCAAAATCAAACATTTTATTTAAAAAAAACCCCTAGCTTAAGATTGTTAGTTTTCCACAATTATGCAGTTATCTATCACACTTGAAAGCACTAGAAAGCAAAAAAATTAGTAACTAAAAATGCAATTAATATGATATGAAATGAGCAGATATTCTTTTAAAATAGAAAGAAATTCACATTTCTTCATTATCATTCAACATCATTCAATAACAACAAAACCAACTTCAGTTCTGCTCCATATATTTTTCAGTATTTTAACATATTATTATCTTGAGTTTGAAATCTAAATACTTCCTCCTAGACCAGTAATACTTCAAATGATTTAGGTTAAGAATAAATACTTCATGATCCCAGCCCCACATGAGTATTTGAAAATAATACAAATTGGCAACTGTTTGTGTCCTCACTGATAGGGCTTGTGGCTGCTTTTTAGGTTATGGCCTCTGGATTAAAAAATATTGTTCGAAAGGCTGTTTTTAAATGGGAAATTTTCCCAATGGATATACTTATCAGGTGAGAATAAGCTTTTGTATTATTGAGAATAAGCTTTTGTATTATTGCTTTAGTATGGATGTTGCCCCAGTACCCAAGTTGTACAAGTATAAACACAGTTCTAATTTTTACCAAACACTTACCTGTGTACTTAACTTTTTATACTTTATGCTTACGAGTAGTCTTAGTGAACATAGCAGGACAACTGTGTATTTGCCATTTTTGAGCTGCTATTTGCAATTTCAAGACACTTTGCACATCATTTGCAAAAAAAACTTTCCATTTTTCTTTCTGTTAAGTTGCAAGGAAATCAAAATATGACAATGAGATCATGAGATTAATTTGCCAATTTTGCTAGGCTAAGAAAGATCTTTTAGTTGTCCCCTGTCTGCCTGATACCACTCCCTGTAAATATCAATGTAAAATAATCCCACCAATGTCAATGGAAGCAACATTGGGCCCAAACATATCCAAAAAGAAAATTGTAAATAATATTGCTTAATGGCAGCATATTTTCTCTATTTGCAACCAGCAAAATTAAATATAGTTTTAACCTAATGATAATTTAAACAAGAGGCAAGAAGCCATTTTGGAGATAGGGATGAACAGAAATATTAGGCAAAGATCAAATGTCAAAATGGAAGGGTTTTTTAAGGACCAAAACCAATGGATAGACTTTCTTCAAATTTGTTTGAAAGTGACCTCTTTGCCTTAAGAGCAAAAGGGGAGATTTCATGACAAACCAATTTTCCAAGCCAAAGTTACAGGAAGAATGGTTGCAACCTCAGCTCTGAAGAAGGCACTTCCTTTCAGTAATACTTGGAAGTATTACTTGATCAGACCACAGAAGAAAAAAACACATGCTTGTATTTTTTCTTTTTATAGACTTCTGAGTTTGAGAATTCTAATATTATAAAAGCCTAAGTCTGTCAGTCTGTCTGTAACACTTTATTTGCACTCTGATTGGCTGATGGAAACAGCCAATCAGAGTGGTCCAAGTGTGGGGGAGTGCCACCATGATTCCAAAGCCATGCCAAGGACCAGACAGAGGGCGGGGGAGCCAAAGCCAGCAGCACTGGCCTCAGCTTCCCCATCCCACTCCTTGCAAGTGGCGCTGAGGACCTGACACAGGGTGGGGGCAGAACAGCAGCAGAACAGCAGCAGCATGGGGCATTAGATGGCAGCACTCCATCCCAGCCCACCTCCTTCCCTCCTGCCCCCCCCCCATCATTTTTGACAGGCAATTGGCTAGTATATTACATCAGCATGGCAATTTTTTCCTATATTATATGACTTGGTAATGACTCTCTATATTGATTCGTTTAGAAACCAGTGTTTATTTTGTCATCTTCTTATTTAATACAAAGTATCTAACTTATGGTTCATTATTACATGACAGACTTCCAAGTATTCACAACAACACAGTAATTTTTTCTAATAGAGACAGGTACTTGGAACTGTCTCCCATGACCAGCAAATAAACATAAAAGGATGCATTACTTAAACTAAGCCTTTGGGTATTCAAAACAACATATATTATTGCTTTTATGTTTTCAAAGAATTTTCCAAATTTGATTAATTCTTACAACCTTCTGGTGACATCTGCAATTGTTGTTTTCCTTGCTTTGCAGATGGGAAATCATAATACAGAGAAAGTGACTTGCCCAGGGCTATTCAGAAAGTTGGCAAACTAAGCCTAGAAGTAAAGTTTGAACTCCCAGTCTAATACATAATCCACCAGGCCATGCTGTCTGGCTTTAGGTTATATTCTCTACTAAATTTACTAATTAATCATTTATAAAACAGTATTTAAATAAAATACCACTGAAGAAAAGTGGTATGAGCCAATTATTACTATATGTGCTGCATGTTGTACAAGTAATAGAACATTGGGTACAAAAACACAATTGGCATTAATTGGCTTTTTCCACAGTGGGGTCTGTGTCGATTCATATTAAAGGAATTTGAGTTCATAATCTAGAACATGGTTCCCAACTTATGGGCCCCATAATATATGTTGACTGCCTCTGGAAAACTTGCCCTTCTTCCTTATTTCTGGATGTTAAATTACCTTAGAAAAAGATATTAATCATTACTTTTTCTAATATTGTTTTTCCCAATATTACGTCTACCTGTTGCAGTTACTATAATTATCAGACAGATATTATGGGACATAAAAGGGAAGAAGATGGAAATGGTCTTCTGGGTCAAGTTATCTGTGATATATCTAGTACAAATAATAATTTGATTAAAATATGATACATATTGTGAAAAAATAGAGACTCCATGATATTGATTAAATCCATTTTTTGTCGAGTGTCCCTAGAATATTTTCTGCTACTTTTTATGGTAAAATGACTACATATTCCTAAAAAGCTACAAATAGATGTGGTCTTTGAAATGATACTACAGAGAATTATGTTGACTGTATTATCTTGCTTAATAGATTAATTAAAACTAAATTAAAAAATAAAATATGGTGAAATCAAATTTTGCTATGTGAGCCATTTAAGTAACAGTTATTTTCTGGATGATGTATCTTTCAGAGACTACCTCTGAGAAGTACTTGTTTCCAGTACCTGCTGCACCTCCTGAACAATGATTTTCTCAGCTTTTTAAATTATAAGACTGGACTAATCATCTTCATTCTTTGGTAATTATACATTTAACACTAAATTAGTAACTAAAGAATTATGTGTATTTATGTTGCAGCTTCCTCCCAATAGTGTCAAATCCTTTTATAAAATTGGATTCCCCTGTCTATACTCTGTAATACCAGATGCTCTGTATTACCAACTATCTCTGCTGTACTGGGTGCCCAGTGTCATCTAGGGATGTGAGGAGCTTTGGTCCCTGATTTGATCTGGCAGAGAATTGGCCCAATTTGGTGGCTGAATCTCTGAATATGAATTGAGTCAGAGAACCCTTTAATCTCTCCAAATCAAATTGGAACCCTCCAAATCGATGCAGAGAGATCTGAACAGATTCGGCGATTCGGACATAGACACAGCTTTCAGTGTTTTTTCTACATACCTCTAGGTAGCAGGGGCTTGTGAATGCTGCGATGCTGCATGGATGGAGTGTCCCACAGAAGTGGGGGGGATCCCCTGCGTGCTCAGCAGCAGACCCAGAAGTGGACCAGAAGCATTTCCGGTCTGCCAGGGAGCACACAGGGCGCACCCTGCCCCCCCAGCTTGGCAACTGGTACCTCCTGGATCTGGTTAGGGGCACCCAGGGTCCCCCGCAGCCAATCGCTGAACCAGGGAGGTGCAGTGGGGGGTGGACAGAGCACTCTCTAGCAGACCCGGAAGTGGACCGGAAGTATTTCTGGTCCACTTCTGGGTTCGCCACCAAGCACATGGAGGGCCCCCCACACTCTTGTGAGATGCTCCATGTGTCCCAACATCGCAGAGATCACAAGCCATGCCTGCTACCTTAAGGTATGTAGAAAAAACTTTTAAAGCTGTGTCTGTGTCCGAATCACTGATTCTCCAAATCAGCATCGAATCCTCAGATTTGGATTCAGCCGAATCGAATCAGGGACAGTGATCTGAATCAATGAATCGAATCACTGTCCCTGATACAGGCCGAATCCAAATCCAAATTGAATAAGACCCTCTTCGCACACCCCTAGTGTCATCTATTCCTTTTTGCTCTGTTTGCTAGGTCCTACATTCCCTTTCAGTCAAATATCCCTATTTAGGACTGTCATGCCCCCTCCCAACATCTGCTCCTTTGCACTGGGAAATAATTGTTAAATGTCTCAGGTCTGGGAAGGAACCATTTCTTGTGCGTGGTGGCAAGAAGAAATAATTTGGATTTTTCCTTTGGTTCCACTAGCTGCCTGAATCAGTTGCTTCCTCTGCCTTTCCTTTAGCTATCTGTAAAGGAATACCAAAGGAGAATGAGAGGGGAATGATAAACTCGGTGTCTCTGTGTTCAGCATCAGCATAAGTCCCCTCCCTTTGCTTCTCCTCTGTTCTACCTCAGGCCTGGAGACATTTCTGATCCCTTCTGCTTAAGAGTTTGAGGAAAATGTCTCCCTCTATGGATATTTAGCAAATGTGCCTGTGACAGAGGCTTGTATTTTAAAAAATATGCACAAATTTTTGGGTGTTCAACTTGACAATGGGAACATGCAACTCCAGTTAAAAATCAGGTCTTGGGTGTTTTGAGATGGGCAAAGTTTCAAATCTAAGATACTTGAAGTGCCTGTGACACGGTAACCCAACCACCCTTCCACAAACATCTTCCCCTTGAAGCTGTTGGCATTTTCAAAGGCATTCATCCATCACGGGAAACTTTTTATGGCCATTTTTATGACAGCTATTTGAGAATAAATGAACATTTAGAATGATAGCTCAGTTCTGATGGCATACAGGTAAGGCAATCAGAATTGAACAATAAAGCAGCATATCACATTGTCCTGCTGTTACTTCCTACTATAGCACCAAAATGTTCATGGGCAGGAGTGGGAACCATGTGATAAGTGGGCGAGGCAGATGATAATTTTCCAGGAATGTAATTAACTGTACAAGTAATTTATGTAGGTCCTTATTAAATGCTTATGACTAAATTAGTTGCCCACTACTCAAACTCATCTGTGATTTATTCTAAAATTCCAAACTACTGACCAGTTTAAAACTATCACTTCTTGTAAGCAGGCCTGCCAACAATATTTCTTCCTTATCTCCCAGATTGTCTTGCTCACTTGCATTACTGTAGCAACTGAAGGCCTTCTGATAAGGTTTAGGGTTAGGCACTGTACACACATACAAGAAAAACACAATTCCTATTATAAAGTCCTTATGATTGAGAAGGAACTGTTTCCTATACTCAAAATGGGCAAGATTCAAGTGCTCACCCAGTGAAAACTTTTTATTAATGAGACTTTACAATTTAAAACACCAATAACAAATCTCTTCAGCTAGAAGTAAACCCAAACCAAACCAAATCAAACTAGAAATGTACTTCTGGGAAGAAGAAATTTCCAGTGGAATAGAATTTGCATCTATAGGCATGAAATGTTAACCACCAGACTTGACTTTGTGAAATTTTTCATTAATTAATTTTTGTCAGACTCATGCTGTTGTAAATAAAGGGATTACCCCAACTCTTGCTGATTAAAACCTTTATGCCATTAAACACCAATGGTATTCCCTGCCCAGTTCATAGTTTCATTCTTTATCATACAATTTTACAGTTTATCATCTGTGTATTATAATATGTGATTGTCATGACTTCACAATCTGTCAGATGTATTTCAAGGACCCTTCTGTAGCACATATAATTTGTGAATACTCTAGTGGTAAGTGGTCTTATTTTGAACAGAAAATGCATGCACAATGCACATGTAAAAATATCCCAATTGTTGTCTTTATTTCAGCTGCATCAATGCATATCTTCCAAAAACAGAAGCCCAAAGTATTACTCCAGATCTGCTGAGATATTTTATAGATGATTTAAATGAGATTAAACGACTTGATGTAAGTTCACAAAATATCAATGTCATAGACTTATTTGGGTAGGAAGATGCATGTAGTGGGTCATCTAGTAAAGTGCTAAATTGGGGAATGACTGTGTTGAGTAGACAAGTAAAGGGAATATGGAAAAAAAATATACCCTGTATTACACATCTTCAAATTAAGTGTTTTCTCTTTTTCAAAGTGTAATCCTGTTAATGTTCTATTTTAATTCTTCCAGTACTCCTTTTTATTCAGATACAACAGGAAGAAGCTTTTGCTGAAAAACATATGATGTTGGAGTTAGCTTCTGCTGAGAAACAAATGCTGGAATTCAACTCTAGTGAAGTTCTCTCTGGGATGTTCATCTTGCAAAGCGCTGAGCAACCTAAATTTCAATTATTTTCAATGATTTCCAGCACTTTGCAGGATTGTTTCTTTGATCACAGAGCTACTCTACCTGTTGCAGTACAATAGCATTAACTTTATTATCCCTAACTTCAGGAAATGCCATTTAAATAATTAATTTTGTTTTCTTTTAGTGCATTGATACCAGTTTATATACTGCAAGCACAAGTGAATATGTAAGTAGGTTTTCTAAGTTTGGCTTTGACTACTTTAAAATCTAACATTGCTAGGACTTCTACAGTAACTTCTATGTAAGGCAATCACTGTCTAATTTGATCCAAGTGCCTGAAACTATCATTTGCATTAAAAATAACAGTTTCCAGTGTTTATATGTATTGATTATTATTGTTATTGTATTGTTATTGAATTGCTTGTTATAGATATTAGTAATTTCACAAGAGACGCCAAAATTATTTTATCAAAGGAAAGAACTTCACTTTATCCTCAAAGAATGGAAAACACCTACAAACATTGGGTTCCTATAGATGTACAGGGAGCCTGCTCCAACATGCTGGACATCCACCATTTCAGAGCACACTCAATTAATCGAGCCTGCTTTAGCATGGAAATTGATGC